AATATTCACCTCTGATAGGACAAAAAAAAGAATACAAAAGAAAGATCATTTTGTATTTATATATACAAAATAGTTAGGATAAATTTACAGCTACTTTTGCTTAATTCAATGAGAAGAAAGAGGTGTACTAACAGTGTTTGGACAGAATATCCTGTCTGCTTCTTGTACTATGGGTAACCACTAAGAAGATAACAATGTACAATGTGTTGATTATCAAAACTGTCCTATTAATCAGCTGTGAAACTGTCTCATTTATATTTATTTTTCAATTAAAAAAATAAAACTTGCTGATAGGATTATGTCAATCAGATATAATCAATACATGGGACTAGAGGAACAACTTTAAGTCTATACAGAAAGAGGAGGTTTTTAATAATGTACTTTAAAATGATTAGGAAAATCCCTATGTGAGGGCTGGGGAGGTGGCTCAGTAGGATAAGTGCTTGCCTGGTAAGCACAAGGGCCTGAGTTCAATCCCCAGTTTTGCCAAAAAAAAAAAAAAAAAATGCATTAAAAAAAAAAAAAGAAAATCCCTATGTGAAATCTTTCCTTATGTACCATATGAAAAGTTATCATTGCTTTGAGTTTTATTTCTATAGTACCCATGAAGAATGTAACCATTTTCTGTGACTCATAACTCATAATAACATGACAATAACTGACTCATCTAAAAATGTAATTAAAATATTCCATATCACCAACATAGATACAACTAAAAGGAATTTGTTCTAGGAATGAAGATGCATGACTATGTACTGTAGAATATATTTGATCTGACAAAGAATATTACAGCAAATTGCAAGACTGGCCATGAATTCTTCCCCATCTGTGTCTGTGTACCATTCCACTATCCCCTCCTACAGTATTTCTGGGGTTGCCCAGGTGAAGTGCTTTGGCCAATGTGACAATAGAAAATGTACAAACAAACTTAAAAAGTGGTGTGAATTTGTGTTTGTACTCTTTTGAAGCCTCTTGGAATCCTACAAATGCCATGACAAGAAGCCCAGAAAAGCCTGAAGGATGATGAGAGACATGTGGCTCAGTTGCCACTGCTCCCCTGGTAACAGCACACTAGCTGCCAAAAATGTAGGTTATACTAGCTTAGATAATTG